ATGTGAAAACAAAAATAAAGTATTAATACACGTTAATATATAAAAACAAATGAAACAAACTTGATTATTTATTATATTGATTTATTACTATGAAAACTATGAATATTTTAATATTACTATGAATATGTTTACATTTAAGTGTAATTATTTTTAGTCCTCCTATCGCATGCTGTATATCTTCACTGTAGTTTAATATAATATGACGGATTTGTGAAGAAGGCATCAAGCTTGTGCCCAACTTCCTCTGTTGTTTCTGTAAGGTTTCTTTAAAGTAGGTGAAACCTTATTTAGTCATTCTTCGAGATAGCAGAAATGCAATCCCAGTTGTTGTCATTATCAAAAAGGTTAGAGGTGTAACTCCATCCTGAGGATGTTTGGTAGTAAGGGCCTTCTCATCTGCAGCTTCTTCAGCACCTGTCCTCTCTGCCCCTAGCTGTTCCTGTGGCTTCTCATTGGTTCTCTGATGCCACATGCTCCCCAGTTACCTCTTTAAACCCGGCTATGTTGGTCAACATCATGATGTCATACTTGTGTTGCTGATCATTCTTCATCTGTCTTTAATCAACTAATCAAAATCAAGACGTAGGTAATGAGTCTTGAATGCAGCGATAGGACCCTAGTACATTGGATGCAGCATGGAAATCATGTTAGATTGTAGAAACGTCAACTGTTATATCAATTTGGAGAGCATGAAAGGAGGAGTTTGGGTTAACCTGGGATATTGACCAAGACTAACAACACTCTTGGTTCAGCATTTGCTCACAATAATTATTTACAGCTGGATAAAAATAATGAAGAAGCCAGTGGATAAAAAGAGTTACCCTGGCTTTGTGGATTGACTGCCAGGTGTTAGACCAGTAAACCCCTTCTGCAGCTCTTCATAGCCCCTATTGTGTTAGTACTGTTGCTTTACATTGTGCAAGGTAAATCATCAACTGCTGTATTTAACTTCTGAAATGCATGAGATGTCAATAGTTGTTGACTTTATTTTCAGACTTATTGTACTCTCTGACTGTGTTGTATGGGGTTTTAGGGTGAAGATAAAGGAAAACATTGAATATATTTTTCTTAAAAGACATCAGTGTGGATGGATGTGTTTTTACTTCATCACTTATAAGACAAAATGCAGAAGAGGTGCAGACAGCACTGGTAAATTACAGAAAAGTGTTCTCGTTATGGCATATTAAAATGAAAGCACAAGTTTCAGGCGCTATCACATAGGTAAGGGTGGGTTTAGTTGGCTAGGGCTGTCTCTGATGTATGAGGTGCTTGTAGGCTCATGGCCCTGTAAATGAGGGATACACCTCTCCCTTGATCAGTGCTATTGATCCTGTGATGTCTCGAAGTGTTTCTACTCTTCTTCAGTCTTTCCTCTGTGAGGATGTGGATTTCAGAGTTGTGAGATGAGATGTAAAACAAAGCACGTATTTGGTGATTCCAAATATGAATAGTTTTATAACAAAAATATTTGGGAATTCTAAAAGGAAAAAATAAAAATTTATTATAAAACACTTTCAGGGTAAACCCAGAAAATACTTAAACTAAATCATTTGTTTTGGAAATATAAACATTGAAAAACCAAAGACCTAATAACACTGCAAAGGTGTTTGAGACCCAATGCAACATTTATTTCTCAAAACTATACCAGTGACTTGAATCAGAAACCTTATAATATACATAAGCTTTGTACACAGTGCACAAAATAACATTACACCGGAAACATGGCCAAAACATATTTGAAACACATCAGAATTACAGTATGGTGTCTGATATATTCCAGATGGTCACTTAAAGGTCATGAGATAATTGGTCTTTCTTTCATATAGAATTTTATGTTCCTTAGAAAAGTTTGTTAGAAGTTTGCTTTAATACCATCAAAACTCTCATGGTCACAGATGATATATGCAGGTTGTTTAATTTTTGTTATTAACATAGCTGAAGAAGTAGTTAAGTTGGAAGAAAGTATTTTAAATGTTTTATAATAAGTAATAAAACTAAACATTATTCTACACAACATACATAAAAGGGGTCTTACATTAAGGACTGTGGAATATGTTCTGGCAGCTTTAGTGAGAGATGTAACAGTATAATTGCAGAGTTGTTGGTCCTTGAAAGAGCAAAGGCTCTTACTACACTCTCAGAAATTCACATTATCTTGTAAGATTTGACCTATTCATATGGTTAAAGTTTTTAACAGTTCTTGTATAAATTGCCAGCTCTTTCTCTCCCACCCTGTATATCCTGTCTCTGTTCACTATTATTCCACCCAAGATAATTTGTTTCCCAGGTTCTTATCTTTCTGATGAAGCGCTATTTTCCTTGAAAAAAGAAAATGTGTCGTATTTGCCGAATAAGTGCAATCACAAAGAAATACAAATGTTGAGACATGAAGAGATATTGTAGTTTTTAAATTTACTATCAAAGTTCTGTCCTGTTTTCATGTACAACAGCAATTCTTTCAACAAATGTTTTCTTTGGAAGATTTTCTGTCATATACCAGCACAAACCCAAAGTCAGATATTTAGGTATTATTACCATGAGACAATAAATTGTTGGCTGAATACACAAGTCATTTTTATTTTACTTCTTAGTGAAATAATTTTATTACAGGTCTGCAGTGTTGCAAACCTTTTTGCAGTGTCCAGTACATTGAAAGGGATAATGTATTTATTTAAATGAAGGCTCACTGATTTGGATAATTTAACTTATTTGGGATCACATTATAAAAGACTACAAGAAGGGATCTGATTACAAACAAGGGGGCACAGAAATATTCCTGCTACTTATACTGTATATGTCCATGCATGATCATTAAAAATGAGCCCATATAGTGTCAGTTTTTCCATTTATCGGCTTGTGCTGCTTCTGCTTTTTAGGAGTACTTTTAAACAGGCGTATTTTATTTTAATCAGCCATGTTTGTTTTTGAAATCTTATCTTAAACTCGTGTTTTACTTTAATTGTGTTCAGAAAAAAAGTATAATTTACAGTCAAAACCTTTTCCAGGTGTCTTCACTGTAAGCAGATTCCTAGAAACCCACCACAGTTGTTTACTCCAGCACTGTTTGATCAGACTCCCTTCAAAGATCTCGAAGGCAGAGATGTATCCTATTAAATCTGCTTTGTTTAAAAACAACATAATGTAGCAGGTTGTTTTTTCCTTAGTTAAAACCATATGAGGTTTATAATCTTACTTTATTTCTCTAACAGTGAAAAAAAATTCTGTATAACAAAAATAGCCAGTTTACAAAAAGAACCCAGTCATTACAAAATAAAGATGTTGGAAAGGAATGCCAAGTTACAAGAAATGCTTCTCACAGTTACATTGTTTTTTATTATAGATATCAATTCTTTGTGTACTTTAATTGTATTGAATTAAAATAAATTAACTGTCAGGTTTATATAAAAAATATATATAAAAACAAGTTCATATACTTTTTGGCAATATTTGGAAGTGGATTGGATTGGGATACTCCAGAACCAATGGTGAAGGCCTTTGTACTATACCATAAAACCATGAAGCCTGTACAGTACATCTGCAACAGATGTTAACATGATTGTGTTGACAACATTCAAAATAAATAAAGCATACTAAATTTAAACACAATCAATAGTGATTAAAAATTGCATCTTAATCTATCTTTAATGTACAGAACTCCACTTTTACAAATGCAGGTTTTATTACTTTTTGTTTTAATGTAATAACAGTGCAGTCTTTCCTGCAAGAAGCTCAACTTTCAATGTGAAAAACAATCAAAATAACATGTGTTTAACTAACTGCTGATGTTTATTGATAACTCTGCTTCATCTGACTTTTAAAATTACATAGTGTCATACTGTTTATTATTTTCTATTTTTCTGTTCTGATTTACTGTTGTCCCTCTGATAAAGACTGGAGCAGGATAGTGATAGCTTGCACACTTCCATTAAAATACCTTAATAATATTTTTGTGAAATAAAATGTGAGTATATATTCAGAATTATTATAATTAAAAATATATAAGAAGAATAAACATGTTATATAGGACATTTCAAATCAGTTTGCAATATATAAAAAGCACATTGTACCTTTTCAAAAATATATATACTGAAAATGTAAGGTTTTAGGCAAATTTAAAAGTACATCACAAGATGCATATTTTTTTTTGTATCTGCTTTGTTTTCGTGGTTTTGTAATTTTCATTAATGTTGTGCTTTGTTATGTATTATAAGTACTTTGCAATGATTGTTTCTAAAGGCAATGGATACTGATATAAATGGAAATAATGATAATATAAATAAAGATTTAAATGGAAGCTCAGAATTGTTATGTAGCAAGAATGTTTCAGGCAAAATGGCTCATTTTAGTAAATATCAATCTGAGACTCATTTATTTTTAAGAAGTAAAGATATTGGCTTCAACAATTTGACTAATTTGCTTGTTTCAGAGGAGCACAAAGCTTTGTGTAAAGACTTTCCTCCTGTTCTCTGTTTTAATTGTATTTCAGTGTTGGTTCTGATTATCATATAAAACCATAGGTTTCTGTAAAGAAAATAAATATTTTGGTGAGGTTTGTTAAAACCAACATCTCAATGGATTAGGGGAGTGAATGTAATATCTAAGATAATTAGCAGGAGCAATTGTAAATAAAAGAATCCAATCTTCAACCAGGCTTACTTTTCTCCATCTATCAAACTTTCTGTTTGAAGGTTTTCTGTTTCTCTTAACGTAACCATTCTTTTTAATGTGTGCAGTATGCTGACTTACACTAAACTGAATAAATTGTTTAAAATGTAGTAATGCACAATGATCTTATAACTGAATTGTAAATCAGATAGTGGTGTTGACATGGAAATCTGAAAGCTTAGCATGTTTCAGCGATTGCCCTGTCTGGTTAAATTTGATTTTGATTGTTATTATTGTTGATTTGATTATTGTTTCCTTGGAATTTTCTGCATGTAGGGTTGAATGCCACATCTCCAAATGGCGTGATCACTGTGTGTTTCTCTGTATGTTTTCAGGAAAAGCCATACCAGTGCAGTGAGTGTAACAAGGCCTTCAGCCAGAAACGAGGCCTCGATGAGCACATGAGGACTCATACTGGGGAGAAGCCTTTCCAGTGCGATGTGAGTTTCCGTTAAATTCGATTGAAATATATTTTGGTTTGTTGCTTTACTGTTTACTGTTAATACTGTAACATCAGCTAGTGAACCTTATTTAAGTGGAAATAAGAAACTGTACTCTGCTGTCTGAACTGACTTCATGATATTGATGATGATGCAGCTCTCACAAGAACATAAATGTTAGAGAATGAAACATAAAAACATATTATAACAATTCATAATACAATATTAATTTATTGTTAGCCACTTATACACTATCCATATTAACAATAGAACTAATACTGAGTTGTTTTTTATTTGATTTAACTAAAAATCAAAACATTCATTAGCGATGGAAAAGTTTGAAAATTACATACAAACACCACTAGAATTTCCATTCCAGGTAAATATGGTGCCATCAGAAAATTAAATGCCATAATAAATGACTGTATGAAGGAGATCTTTTTGTGGTTCATTCAGTAAATGTTACTTAACTTCCTTAATGATATAGCGCTGTTTTGAAATACTGTAATCACAGCAGGGCAATTGTCTGCCAGGCTTTTAAGCAAAACTATTAACTGTAGTTATATTTTTAAATTGACATTTGAATGTAATTGTTAAGGAAACCTGACAAGCTAGCTGTCAACCAGAGATTTGATAGAACTCTTGAACAGAACCCACCCTGACCATCACACATGGTGGTGGGAGCACTGTCGTCTGGAGCTGCTTTTCTGCCTCAGGACCTGGATTTCTTGCCATCATTAAAGGAACCACAAATTCAACATTGTATTAGCAAATTCATAAGGGGAATATCAAACCATCCATTCTTTACCTGAAGCTGAGCCAAACATGGGTCATGTAGACAATACAATGTACAGACAATGATCTACATGTACAACAGAAAAGCTGCAAAGGAAGAAATTTTGCATTTTGGATTTGGCCAGATCACAGTTTGGAACCGAACCCCGTTACAGTATTTTGTGACGACCTGAAGTGAGCTGTTCATGCAAGAAAACCCCAAAGTGTCTCTGACTTGAACCAATTCTGTAACAATGAATGGGCAAAATCCCTAAAAGCCAACTGCTAAACAGTTACAGGAAATGTCGTAGTTGCTGAATGAGTAGCCAATTGGTGACTGAATCTAAGGGTTAAATTTATCTTTCATTAAGACGTAAGCCTAATTGCGTTTACAAGTAGGTCTAAAATATACAAGAATACAAATCAACCTAGGTAGTTCACAAACATTTCTCTGTATTGTGTACTTCATAAATGGTATCTGGATTATTTAACAGTGCTTCATTACAATACACAATACATCACTATGTTGTAGTGATGTTTGGCAACATTTTTTTTTGTTTAATTGGAAAATCATTCTATTTGATATTGACTTAAATTACATTATGGTCTTCATTTCAGATCAAAAAGAAAGAAAAAATTACATATTTTATTATTCTTTTTGCCATACTGTATTTAAATAGTTGCAGTAAAAACAATGTTCATAGTGATTTATCTTTTTTCACTTTAATTAGAACTGTAGAACAGTTGTTAGGCTCTCAGGAGGCATCTTTTCCATGCTCATGGTTGTTATTGTAGCCCTAAATCATTTGAGGAAGCTTAATCCTGAACACATGCAGAACACAAGCTTTTTCATAGTCTACAAACTGTCTCCATACTGAAATGACTCCTTAAATGCAAAAATGAGTTTATGTAATATATCCATGGAGAATTTGAGAAATTACCATTTTATTCTGTTAAGATTTTTAAAACAGATGATATACTGCATTTGGTCTTTCTTGACATGGTTCTTGGAAGTCTTTGTGGCTTAAAGAGATTTTAATGGAGAAAAGATGACACCTTGCAGTTTTACCCCGATTCGAATTACATATGCTTGTTACTGCTTCATGAGAAAAAAAAAGGAATTTCATGAATTTTTGCCTGCTTGGGATTACCACGTTTATTTCATAAGTGAGCACATAACAGTAAATCACTCTATTGTTAAATAATATAATGCTTATTCTTCCATTGCTTTTATAGTCAATCAAAGTGGCAATACTTTTTTCCCCTTTATTTCTGTAGATAGCAGATACATTTTCCCTTATTATTCACATTTTATGGTCTTCATGGTCTTCCACAGTCAATTTAAAAAGTAGGGTTTAAAAAGTAGGTCTCTCATTTATTGATAACTTGCTTCTGTATTTGTCCTAGGTCTGTGATCTCTCCTTCAGTTTAAAGAAAATGCTGATTCGGCACAAGCTCACTCATAACCCCAACCGCCCCATGGCAGAATGTCAGCTTTGTCACAAGAAATTCACAAGAAACGACTACCTCAAGGTGCATATGGAGAATGTTCATGGAGAAACAGATGGATAGAAATGTACAATATTTGCTACAGTATGTAGGTGATTATTTTCCCTACAAAAAGCAATAAATAAAAGGCAAATATATCTGTATTAAACTATTACCTTATTTTCACATTCCAACATTGTTTAACCAAATCTGTATTGTGTGACGTTTTTGTGTTCTGAATGTATTTGTAATTAAAGGAAATGTAGAATGTTGAAAACATTTGAGGAAACACTTTATTTTAATTTCATACAAATATTTCATTCTGTTACTGTACTTGCTTACGCTAATGTTGTGTCCTGTTATCGACCTGGGTACAAAATCTGCTTTACAGTTAATTAGGCTTATTGTGTTGCAGGGAGTTCTTCTGTTTAGTTATTTCCCTGATAGTTATGTTAAAAATGCTTTTAATCTTACGTGTCATTTTCTCTGCAGAGAAACTGTAATTTAACCTTTTCTAATTTAAGTATTTAATTACTTTTTAATTTTAATTTTCTTTTTGTAAGTAACCAGGAGAAGGTAAAATAAAAGTAAGTATGTGCCACTTCAATAGTTCAGTCGGTGTCATATTTCTGTCTCTGACTGGGGAGAAGAGCTACATACAGTACAGTATGAGCTGTCGATTGTTGGTTTTACACTCTTTTTGGATATTCAGTGGTTTTAAAAAAATGATTAATTTTAATATGCTTTCTAAACATCAGAAATATTTGAGAGTTTAGCATTGCCTTTTCTTGATGCTGTGTCATCAACAGTTGGTCATTCACATTTACATTTACAGTGCCTTTCCCAGATACACTCACTACTGTCCACAACACCTCTCCTTGGCAGATCTACAGATGCAGCCATTCAAAGTGAGTGGTACAGACACATACCGGAGGTAATTGTTTGGTGCGAGTGAGGTTTTATTCAATCTCTGACCAAGGGAAACGTTTCATTTTTTCAAAGAAATGTTTGTTAAAAAATAAAGTCATAGTTCTATGGGATTCAATCACAGACCATGTGACATGGGAGTCAGGAAACTAACACACAGCGCCACCAGATTTGATAACACTATAAAAACGCTATAAAATAATGTGACTAGCCACAGAACAAGTTTACAGCGCAGTACAATAATAAATGCTGACCATGACTTTAGAAGCATAAATTACCTTACACTCAATTTAAACACAAGCTGTCTTTAGCCCTCTAAGCTGGTTCATACAGAAATGTAGAGATCCAGGCTCAGAACACACAGCTTCATTAGCGAATACATATGCAGGACAACTAGAGAAGACGTTTTACAGAGTATGGATTCTTAGAAACATCCCATCAGTGACATCACTGAAGTCAACTCCTAGGTACTGTAACTGTCGTGTGGATAGTTTCACAAGAATCAGACAAAGGTTTCGGCATCGCTTGTTCTAGATAAAACTGCAAAAAAAAAAAACAACAACCCATAATGTACTTCTTTGCGGCTCTGTTTGCCCAAATCATTATTCACAACGTGAAATCTAGAAAATAATATTACGTAACCAAAATCCGCAATATGGAAACAGAACCTGTGTAATTGTTGATAGATGATGTACTCGTAACATTTTTACAAGACGAACTACAACATTTAAAAAATGACTTGTATGTACTTGATATCTCTAATCAATCCACGGCGACATTGTTAAAAGCAGAGTCGCAGCACAAAACGAAACTAAAACTCCCTGGGCATACCATTTCGCGCTTCTTATTAGTTGCTCAAAAGTAATTTGACCGTATGAAATGCATAATATAAACCTAGAAACATATACGTGAGCAGTATTTACATACTGTAGTATCGGTGTTAAGACATACCTCTCAAATACTGTAAATCAAGTTAAAAATATCTCAAGACCGATTCTGGTCATAATGAAACCATGTTTCGTGTATGTTTTCTTTAAAGTACCGAGACCAGGCATATACTGTATGTTTATGTTCCAAAATTAATATCGTTTATGGCCTTCACACGCGTTGCAGTATGCTCCTATTCTTTTTATGCTCAGCTACTAAGATTTCCCTTCAGTGGTAAAATTCCATATAAATATTCAATACTTAAACGGGCACAGTTAAGACATTAAATATACATATACATACTGTATACAGTACAGTTTTCATACGGTAATATGTTTATGTTCCTAAATCAATCTCTTTTATGAGCATGTGAAAGGCATGGTGAATCGATTCTCAAAAATTACTGTACTTTGCATCATTTGAAAAAAAATGCGTGATTGCGAAGTGCTGTGGTGTTTCTTTTACAAAGACGGTCAATGAAAAAAAGAATGTTGACCATGGCAATACTTTGAGTTTACACTTACAGCTTGTCCAAGGTCATTCATTATTAATACTATTAGTAATATCTTCGTTAAAGACTTTGATGGCGACAGCTCAAACATGAGAGGTTGAGCTTTATTAGCTCCACCTTGCGGAAATTCCGGATACTATTATTTTGCTTGTCGTATTATTGGAGAATTTACGGTAACTAGCGGTATTTACCGGTAACTTATGGTAGACTGCGTACAGCACATTGGAAAATAATGTGGTATCGCCCGCGCATTTTGAATGGCTGCATCTGTAATTTGCTGATGTACTGTAATAGACTTTGGATAGCATGGAGGCACTTTGGCAAGCATTGCTACGTCACAACCCTGGTTGTCCTGCATTCAGTTATCGGGCTGCTATCAGTGTGGGCTTTGTACTTCTCCTCATGTTGGTCTCCTCCAGGTGCTCCAGTTTCCTCCCACAATTCTCGCTATAAGATGTAATGATGTATGTGACAGTCCTCCCAATTTGTTATCATTGACTAGCTTACTAAATCTACCAGAATTGAGATAATCAAGATTCCAATAACATACTGTAAAATGGACAGAGCAATGATCCTAATACACATACCTTATCTGTACTCTGTTTTCTATTAACTAACCAGTACTCAATGCATTCTGGGAAAATTGACCCTGGTGTGTGTCTGTGTTTCTGTCAAATCAAATCAAATTTATCAAATGCACAACAATACGGCGTGCAGCAGTAGTTGCTGGCAATGAAACGTCTTTTTCTGCGAGCTCACAAAAATTACAAGAATAACAAAAATCACACAAATTCACAAAAACACAAAAATCCCAAAATTTAGGTTACATTTTTGAAATTGAATAAAACTCAATGTGAGTAAAGCTGTTATGTGTCCATGGTATATGCAATATATGCATGTAGTGCAGTTATGCTGAATAAAGCGAGAATTGTATGTCAGTGTAGCCATTACAGGTGATTTGCTAAGGAGCTACAGGTTGGCTATTTAGCAGTCTTATTGCCTGGAGGTAGAAGCTGTTCTGTAGTCTGTTGGACTTGGACCTAATGCTTTGGTGCTGTTTACCGGATGGTAGGAGGGAAAACAGTTTGTGACTGGGATGACTGGGGTCCTTGAGAATGAACCTGGCCTTCTTCAGACATCTAGCTGAGTAGATCTCCTGGATGCTTGGTAGCTCACAGCTGGTGATAAGCTGCGCTGACTTCACCACCCTCTGCAATACTTTGCGATCCCGTTCGGAGCAGCTCCTATACCAGGCAGTGATGCAGCCAGTCAGGATGCTCTCAATAGTGCACCTGTAGAAGTTGGCCTGGATATGTGATGGCATGCCAAACTTCTTTAGCCTGCGGAGAAAGAACAGGCGCTGCCGTGCTGTCTTGACCACGGTGTTGGTGTGGTGGGTCCAGGTTAAATCCTCTGTGATGTTAACTCCCAGGAACTTAAAGCTGCTGACCCTCTCCACTGCAGTCCCATTGATGTGAATAGGTGTGTGGTCTCCACCCTGATGTTTCCTATAGTCCACAATCATCTCCTTAGTTTTACTGATGTTCAGAGAGAGGTTGTTCTCCTGGCACCATACTGCCAGGGTTTCAACCTCCTCCCTGTATGCAGACTCCTCACCATCTATGATCAGGCCAATGACTGCTGTATCATCCGCAAACTTGATGATGGAGTTTGAGTTATGCCTGGTGACAGTCATGGGTAAATAAGGAGTAGAGAATAGGACTAAGCACGCAGCCTTGGGGGGCTCCAGTGTTTAGAGTCAGGGTAGAGGATATGTTGGTGGCCACCTTCACCACCTGGGGACATTCCGTCAAGAAGTCCAGGATCCAATTGCAGAGGGAGGTGTTCAGTCCCAGGTCCTGGAGCTTGATGACGAGCTTTGAGGATACTATGGTATTGAATGCTGAGCTGTAATCAAAAAACAGCATTCTCACATATGTTCCTTTCTTATCCAGGTGTGAGAGGGCAGTATGGAGGGCAGTGGCAATAGCATCTTCTGTTGACCTATTCTGGCAGTATGCAAATTGCAGTGGGTCTAGGGTGTCAGGCAGTGAGGAGGTGATGTATGCTTTGACCAACTGCTCGAAGCACTTCATGATAACTGATGTGAGTGCAACAGGGCGGTAGTCATTTAGGGACAATGGAACAGGGACAATGGTGGTTTTCTTAAAGCAGGAAGGAACTATAGACTGAGCTAGGGAGAGATTGAATATGTCCGAGAAGACATCTGCCAGCTGCTTTGTAACCATCCCGGAAGGGAGTGTAAACATTGTCCAACGTGTTTGTTCCACGTGTCGGGCAGTCGATGTGTTGATGTAGATTAGGCATTGTTTTTTCAAGTTCGCACCGTTGAAATCACCCGCTATGATGAATGCCCCCTCAGGATGTGTATTCTTGTGTCTGTTAAGGTGAGAGTGTAGTTCATCCAGTGCCTTTGTGTAATTTGCCTGCGGCAGAATATACACCACTGTGAGAACTACCGATGTGAACTCCCTCGGGAGATAGAAAGGGCGACATTTTATTGTCAAATGTTCAAGATGTGTAGAGCAAGATGTTGAAATAATCTCCACGTCTGTTCACCAGGAATTGTTTACCATGTAGCATACCCCACCACCTTTGCTCTTACCCGAACATTTTGTCAATGTGTGCCTTGCGATGGACTGGTGTTCTGTCCAGGGCATACCCTTCCTTGAACTAATTGCTTGCTGGGGTAGGCTCCAGTTCTCCCGTAATAATGAATTGGATGAAGCAGTTAGAAAATGAATGGAGGAGGGATTCCACTTTGCACTTCTGAACCAATTGTGTTTTTTTAAATGTGTTTCTATGTGTATTTTAAATGTGTAGCATATCTTATTTTTATAGGACATGTGATATGTTTATAAAATGGTACTACAGAACACCTTGGTTATATGTTGCAAATTAGTCTGTTTGACAATAAATGTTTAATAATTTTCAGAACTTTTTGCTGCCTTGTGTGCTTCACATCATACCACTACATTAATATCTTAGTATACCTGTCTTTGATTTTCCTTTTCTCTATAACCTCTACAGAGATATCCATGATCTTACCCTTTAATGTACGCTATTTCAACTCCTAAATCTAAGGTTTATCTAATTTTCATTTGTATGGATCTATAAAATAAAAACTGCTTTGTTTGAATTATTTCATAGATGAGAAACAATCAATGATCTAATAAGATGTACTGTACAGTAGACGTGTATTATTCTGGTGGGTAGCTGCGTCAGCATGCGTAGGCTGCAAAGGAACAAGTAATAGGTTTAGTCCGTGCTGAAAAAAACAAGAAAGAGAACACGTTTTCCACGGTCGAAACGTTGTGTTCTCTTTCTTCTTTTTTTTCAGCATGGAATAAATCTATTACTTGTGTATTATTCTGTTCAAGTTTAGCATCATGTCATTATCTGATGGGTTTGAATGGATTTGCAATTATTATTTACTGTATTTTAAAAATATTATGTTGAAAGCTATTTTTCCTTACAAAATTAAGACTTTAAATGCTATTATTACAAAATGTTTATTTTAAATTTTATAGTGCATTATTAGAAATAAATATATTT